CCCCCCCCCCCCCCCCTCAAGATTTCGATTTGCACCCCTCCCTCAAACTTTCGATTTACACCCCCCTCGAGATTTCCATTTGCACAGCCCCCCCCCTCAAACTTTCGATTTGCACGCCCCCCCCCCCCCTCGAGATTTCCATTTGCACCCCCCCCCTCAAACTTTTGATTTGCCCCCCCCCCCCTCAACCTTTCAATTTATTTTTCCAACCCATTTTGGCGCCCCCTAAGGTCGGCGCCCGGGGACGTATGTCCCCCCCCCCCATCGCTACGCTACTGCCAGGCATTCAGTTCTATTTCAAATATTAATGCATTAGAAGGAGGGAGAGGGGTCTGACACCATACCATGACGTAAACTGCTAACTATAGAGAAAATAATGCTACAACCAGCTGTATTAGCAACCGATTATAGATAAACATCATTAGATTAAATGTGAATACTTTAAGCTTTAACCGGGGGTGGGGTTGGAGGGATACCAACTGCAAAGTTTCGTTGCTGCCCTTATACCCCTCAGAGACCCACTAGAATTAAATGAGCGAGGAAGTAAACAAGTAAACATATTTACACTTCAATCAATCTGGGACGTAAGTTCAAAGTTCAAAGTTCTTAAATTCAGACATCAAACCCGTCAAGGATTCTCAAGTTTTATTACGACAAATCAACAAAAAGGGGGTCCAAATATAACCGCTGTACGCCGCGTATCCCAGACTTCTTATCTTAATTAATTAATCTGATTTTCTTAAAGCTCTCCTCGTTTTGTTTGACATAATTTCTTGTTTGGATTTTTTTATGATCGGGATAAGAGAGATAACTCCAGAAACGCTTAATTTCTATTAAAATCTGGTTACTTCCCCTGAGTCTCAAAATGTTTCAGATGGTGGAAATACTTGTTTATGACCGAAGAAAAAACAACAACAAAAAACAATACAAATAAACCTGAAAAACAGCTTCCCTGTAGAGTTTCTTCCAGGTTGAGCCCCAACCCCCTTCCGAAGATCGTCTACCGCCCCCACGAACGAAATGGAATTCATATAGAAAATATATACTTTACTAGTGTCCGCTACCCCTCCCCCGGAAAATTTTAGTCCCCCCCCCCCCTCCGAACATTTCAAATGCCCCCTCGGAGAAAAAAAAAAGTCTGGAAGAAACACTGCTTGCCTGATATTTGTTTCATATAAATTATTATATATAAATAAATAAATAAATAATTTAAATAGTTCATCAACTGATGCCACGCTTCATAAATCGACTATCTACAAAATAATGAAACCAAATAGGCCACGTATTATTATTTCTGTTTAATAAAAAAAAAAAAGCTTGTGGCTTATACAGGTTGTATTGTTAATTTTTTGTGACAGCCACGTGTGCCAAACTCAGCCAACCCTAACCTTAACCCTAACCCTAACCCTAACCCTAACCCTAACTCTAACCCTAATCCAAATCCTAATCCTAATCCTAATCCTAACCCTAACCCTGACCCTGACCATGACCCTAACCCTAACCCTAACCCTAACCCTTACCCTAACCCTAACCCTAACCCTAACCCTAACCGTAACCCTAACCCTAACCCTAAACCCTAACCCTAACCCTAATCCTAATCCTAATCCTATTATAATCCGAATCCTAATATAATCCTAATCCTAATCTTAACCCCAACCTTGACCCTGACCCTCGAGAAACAGCGTCACGTGGCCCACTGTGCCACCTGGCATGTGTAAACCAGCGATCTGTGTGGCCAAAACAAGGGTTGAACGCGTCTGAAAAACCTGGCACACTGCAACCTGCGACTGAGGAAGTTGTTTGGATTTTATACCCGCTAGCCCTCCCCTCACCGCATCCCTTGCCCCCATCTTTATCGTTCACAAGGCGGATAGGTTGTCTTGTATTTAATTGCATGGATTTGTGTCCCTTGTTACAAGCCTTACGTGGTTATCCTTTATTCAGCGAGTTGTTGTTTCTTTCTTTCTGCTTGTTACTCTTATAAAAGAAAATTTGGAGCGGTGTTGTTTTCTGACAGTTTAAATTTCAAGCTTCATTCTTGTAGATTTCGTATATACCAAAGGTTTCTTAAAGCTTTGATAATTGGTGATACCTGGGTGATTGGTGAGATTTAGGTGGTGATACATGGGTGGTTGGTGAGATTTAGATGGTGATACATGGGTCGTTGGTGAGATTTAGATGGTGATACCTGGGTGATTGGTGAGATTTAGGTGGTGATACATGGGTGGTTGGTGAGATTTAGATGGTGATACATGGGTCGTTGGTGAGATTTAGATGGTGATACCTGGGTGATTGGTGAGATTTAGGTGGTGATGCATGGGTGGTTGGTGAGATTTAGATGGTGATACATGGGTCGTTGGTGAGATTTAGATGGTGATACCTGGGTGATTGGTGAGATTTAGGTGGTGATACCTGGGTTGTTGGTGAGATTTAGATGGTGATACATGGGTCGTTGGTGAGATTTAGATGGTGATACCTGGGTGATTGGTGAGATTTAGGTGGTGATACATGGGTGGTTGGTGAGATTTAGATGGTGATACATGGGTCGTTGGTGAGATTTAGATGGTGATACCTGGGTGATTGGTGAGATTTAGATGGTGATACCTGGGTTGTTGGTGAGATTTAGATGGTGATACCTGGGGGTGGATTAGATGGTGATACCTGGGTGATGGTGAGATTAGATGGTGATACCTGGGTGGTTGGTGAGATTTAGATGGTGATACCTGGGTGATTGGTGAGATTTAGATGGTGATACCTGGGTGGTTGGTGGAATTTAGATGGTGATACCTGGGTGGTTGGTGAGATTTAGATGGTGATACCTGGGTCGTTGGTGAGATTGAGATGGTGATACCTAGGGTGGTTGGTGAGATTTAGATGGTGATACATGGTCGTTGGTGAGATTTAGATGGTGATACCTGGTGGTTGGTGAGATTTAGATGGTGATACCTGGGTGGTTGGTGAGATTTAGATGGTGATACCTGGGTGGTTGGTGAGATTTAGATGGTGATACCTGGGTGGTTGGTGAGATTTAGATGGTGATACCTGGGTGGTTGGTGAGAATTAGATGGTGATACCTGGGTGGTTGGTGAGATTTAGATGGTGATACCTGGGTTGTTGGTGAGATTTAGATGGTGATACCTGGGTGGTTGGTGAAATTTAGATGGTGATACCTGGGTGGTTGGTGAGATTTAGATGGTGATACCTGGGTGGTTGGTGAGATTTAGATGGTGATACCTGGGTGGTTGGTGAGATTTAGATGGTGATATATGGGTGTTTGGTGAGATTTAGATGGTGATACCTGGGTGGTTGGTGAGATTTAGATGGTGATACCTGGGTGGTTGGTGAGATTTAGATGGTGATACCTGGGTGGTTGGTGAGATTTAGATGGTGATACCTGGGTGGTTGGTGAGATTTAGATGGTGATACCTGGGTGGTTGGTGAGATTTAGATGGTGATACATGGGTCGTTGGTGAGATTTAGATGGTGATACATGGGTCGTTGGTGAGATTTAGATGGTGATACCTGGGTGGTTGGTGAGATTTAGATGGTGATACATGGGTGGTTGGTGAACCAAAGGTGGTTGATGATACCTGGGTGAATGGTGACCCAGCTTGTGAACGACAGAGCCATTTGACACAGCTCGTCCTATTTGCGTGTTTTAAACCTGAGTTCGTGTCAATTAATGAATGGTTGCAGAACACACCCTTGCTAAAGTCACAACAACAGCAAGCATTGCATTTATCATGTCTTTAATGAACCTAGTCACAAATACTAACTTATTAAAAAATATTTAGACTACATATACCTAAAACATGATATTATTAGCTAGCAAAAAAAATAAATACTTTAAAAAGGCCAAGGCTGTATAGTCAAGATTTCGTGTCAAGTCATTATATCCTAAGTCAAGACAATATTGTCATGATTTTCTAAGGTCAATGCAATTGTGTCTTAAAAAATACTCAAGGCACATAATACTTGTTAAAGAAGTTTCAAAAAGATACAAATTATACTAGTTAATATTCAATAACAAGTTTTTGTTATTATATAAAAAGGCAACAATGATACATGTCAAAATTGAAACAAAATTATTAAAATAAAAACTATAGCCAGTTTATGGGGACGATTTGGACGGATTTACCTAGTGGATTAGTGCATCGTGTTAGACTGGATTATTACAATCTCTGGGTCTTTAATGGCAGCTATCGTTCAATAATAGGCGTAGTGACTCCCGTTGTCCTGTTGTGACGCTCGTTGTAAATCTGTGACGCGGAGTAACGAATTGTCCTGCCGAGTCGCAGTGAGGTTTTATTTTTACAATCCGCCTGTTCCAGTGGCAATCACTGCTGTCAGTGTCACATTGTCACACATGGTGACGAAGTGTGACAACCTGTTAGGTCGTGTGACGATGTGTAACGACCTTTCAGGTTCAGTCGTTAACGATGTGTGACGAAGTGTGACGACCTCTCAAGGTCAGTCATGTGACGACGCGTGACGTCCTCTCAAGGTCAGTCGTTAATGATGTGTAACGATGCGTGACGATGCTTGACAATCTCTCAAGTACAGTCGTGTGACTATGTGTGACGATGGACACATTAGGACAATACCGTACTGTTATTTTCAAAAACGTATGCTATGTTCACGCTTTCTGAACATTGGTAGAGTTTGGTACAAATCCTGTGAATGTTTGTAATGACGTGCAGAGCAATGTTTGTATGTACGCCCCACACAACCGTCAATGTTTGTATACTAGTTTTTGTATACTAGTTTTTGTATACTAGTTTTTGTATACTCATTTTTGTATACTGGTTTTTGTATACTAGTTTATGTATACTAATTTCGTATACTTGTTTTGGTATACTATTTTTGTATAATAGTTTATGTATATTAGTTATATTATACTACTGTTTGTATACTAGTTTTGAAACCATTATAGTCACTATTCTGAACCAGTATGTTCAGAGCTGGTTGTATGATACTAGAAAGGCGTGTATTTATGAAAGTTGGTATGCAAACACTAGGCAAACATATTTAATATCATGAGAGTAATGTCCTTTAGTGAGCTTAAAATAGTACGTCCTTGACCCTAAAAGAGCAACACGCCAAAATGAAAGACAACTCAGATGTAACCAAGGACGCTACTAATGCTTCGTCACGCGATCACTCCTGTCACCATAGCAACAGTCTGAGTGAGTTATCGTCCTTTGCCTATCACGGCAGGTGAACTTTCGTTTTCGCTGTCGCCGGAAGTCAGTGCGACACGACCACGTGACCCGGGTGGATGGTGCGGTCCGGGGTGGGGGAGTTACTGCCCATGCTGCTGTTGCTGCTGTCCCCGAGGTTGTGGGTGGGGCCTGACCCCATGGGCGGGCTGTGGTGGCTGCTGCCGAAGGTCCGACCGTTGAACGTGAAAGGCCAGGTCTACAACAAAGAAAAGAATTGTAATGTTAGATCTATCTATATATCTATATATATATAATTCTCTTCTTCGAGCCGTTAGAAAACAAGCTGCAAACGCTCTCCCTACCTCCCCACCCCTACATGGTTTTAGTGAGCTGTGTTCACTCTAAATGTTTACAAGCAGAGCCAACGATTTTAAACGTAGGGGGGGGGGGGAGAGGGGGGAAGGAAGGGGGGGGGGGGGTTATGGTCCTTAACGAGCTACTTATAGTGTTTTAAAGAAATATTTTCAGTGTCAGCGTTGGTACTGTCGAATTCACAAATTATGAATTATTGAAAATTAGAAACAACTAAATAGCGGCGTATGTTATGCCGCGGGCCGGCTCGTATATATATAATTCTCTTCTGGGAGCCGTTAGAAAACAAGCTGCAAGCGCGCCTTTGCAGTCCCCTCTCTTCCTCTCTATCGCTACCCCCCTACCCCCCACCACCACCCCTACATGGCCTGGTGAGTTGTAGTTCACTCTAAATGTTTACATTTTACAATCATAGAGCCGGGTTTGGTGACGGCTATTAGGGGCAGATAATTTAGTTTGAAACGATTTTAAAATTAGAGGAGGTAACTAAGAGGAGGCTGCTTTCACGGGGGGGGGGGGGGGGGGGGGGAGGGGGTAGTGTTTTAAAGCACATATTTTCAGTGGCAGCATTGGTACTGTCGAATTCACAAATTATGAATTACTGAAAAGTAGAAAAAAAACAACTAAATAGCGGCGTATGATATGCCGCGGGTCTTCTCGTATGTTTTAATAAATTAGATACAATGCTAGCAAACCAGTTTATAAGGAACGAGCCGACCCGCGGCGTATCATACGCCGCTATTTAGTTGTTTTATTTTCTACTTTTCAGTAATTCCTAATTTGTGAATTCGACAGTACCAATGCTGCCACTGAAAATATTTGCTTTAAAACACTATCAGTAGGTCGTTAAGGACGATACTACCCCCACCCCTTCCTTTCCCCCAACCTCTACCCTACACCCCCCCCCCCCGTGAAAGCAGCCTCCTCAGTTACCTCCCCTAATTTTAAAATCGTTTAAAACTAAATTATCTGCCCCTAATAGCCGTCACTAAACCCGGCTCTACGATTAATGTAAACATTTAGCGTGAACCACAGCTCACCAGACTATGTAGGGGTGGGGTGATAGGGAGCGCGCTTACAGCTTGTTTTCTAGCGTCTCCAAGAAAAGAATTATATATATATAGATATAATGCTGTTCTTTTTCGAACATGACGGTCAATGGGACGCCACTTGTGTATAGGATCAATTTCTTCTATAATTTCCAAAAACAGGCTTGAAAAACGGCGAAATAACTGATTGGGAGTAAAAGGGGAGGGGGGGGGGTGTATTCAGTATTTTCAATTATATCAAAACACTGTTACTTTCTTAAAATGGTGAGTTTAAAAAAAAAATGAAAAGATTTTTTTCATGTCTCCTGGGCAGATGAAAACGTCAAAACCAACATTTTGAAATGATGAAACCAACTACTGTATATAACAATATAACCACCCAAGTATAGCAACATAACCACGCACATACAACAATATTACCACCCCAATATACCCACCCAAATATAACAATATAACCACCCAAATACAACAATATAGCCACCCCAATATAACAATATAACCACCCAAATACAACAATATAGCCACTCCAATATAACAATATAACCGCCCAAATATAACAATATAACCACCCGCATACAACAATATAACCACCCCAATATAACCACCCCAGTATAACAATATAACCACCCCAATATAACAATATAACCACCCCAATATAACCCCCAACCCGACATCCTATACAATGTTAAACCACCAATACCCCACAACAACAAAACCACCCACAACACACTTCGTGTTTTTTTTATCCTGGACAAGAAACTTCATACAGCTGATTATAAACGTGGAGACTGGTTACAATCAGACGTATTGAAGTGGAGGTTTGTAATGGGCATTGTGATAAGCTGGGCATTGTGATACCGAGGGCATTGTGATAAACTGGGCATTGTGATAGATTGGGCATTGTGATAGATTGGGTGATAGACTGGGCATTGTGATAGACTGGGCATTGTGATAAACTGGGCATTGTGATACCGAGGGCACTGTGATAGACTGGGCATTGTGATAAACTGGGCATTGTGATACCGAGGGCACTGTGATAGACTGGGCATTGTGATAAACTGGGCATTGTGATACCGAGGGCACTGTGATAGACTGGGCATTGTGATAAACTGGGCATTGTGATACCGAGGGCACTGTGATAGACTGGGCATTGTGATAAACTGGGCATTGTGATACCGAGGGCACTGTGATAGACTGGGCATTGTAATAGACTCGGCATCGCCACAGATTCGACATTGCAACAAACAGACACAATTTGGTTTGTATCATATAAAGCATGTCGCCGAGCTATATAGCTAGGATGACATCGCTCTACATGATGTCATTACCAGGTAGGATGACATCGCTCTACATGATGTCATTACCAGGTAGGGTGACATCGCTCTACATGATGTCATTACCAGCTAGGATGACATCACTCTACAAGATGTCATTGATGACATCACCAGTTCGAGTAGACAAAACATTTTAAAGTTAATACAAGCAGTAGTCACACCCATTTCCCTATGACCGTTTCATTAGAAGACCTCCATGTAATAGGACTCAGGATATTCATGTTTTCACACATCTGAAAGCTCGGCAAAGAGGAAGTAAACAGTCAAACAGCACACACACACACAGACACTTACACACACACACGCACACACACTACAGCACACGCCTTCAGGGTGAGCTGCACGTGCTTTTGTTTGTACACATCACATCTGACTCACGCTCAATGCTGACTGGTTACTGTAACAGGAGGGACGTGATCTACCTATGTTAGCGGACTGACGTGATCTACCATTGTTAGAGGGCTAGCGTGATCTACCAATTTTAAATAGAGGGCTGTCGTGATGTACCAGTTACCAGTTACATGACTGACGTGATCTACCAACGTTACAGGAGGGACGTGCCCTTCCTATTAGAGGGCTAGCGTGATCTACCTATGTTAGCGGACTGGCGTGATCTACCTATATTAGAGGGCTGGCGTGATCTATCTATGTCTCAGGGCTAGCGTGATCTACCTATTTTAAATAGAGGACTGACGTGATCTACCAATATTACAGACTTAATGTTACATTAATGACGTCATCTACCAATGTTACAGGACTGACGTGATCTACCAATGTTACAGGACTGACGTGATCTACCAATGTTACAGGACTGACGTGATCTACCAATTGTATAAGACTGACGTGATCTACTAATGTGACATGACTGACGTGATCTACTAATGTGACAGGACTGACGTGATCTACCAATGTTACAGGACTGACTTGATCTACCACTGTTACAGGACTGACGTGATCTACCAATTGTATAAGACTGACGTGATCTACCAATGTTACAAGACTGACGTGATCTACCAATTGTATAAGACTGACGTGATCTACTAATGTTACAGGACTAACGTGATCTATCATTATTAAGTCCTGAAGTGATCTTTCACATCATCATGCTATCTATAAATCTAACCTGACTAATATTATCTTTAAGCATACATAACATATGTGATCTACCAATGGTAACGATGATATAACCATATAACCTTACATTCGAACTCACTGAAGGAAATCATTTCGGTAAATCAATTTCTATCAATTTAAAGCCTATAAATAGACCAAGTCATGTTATGATAACATATGTGAATAGGCCCATCGACCAATCACAACTGTCGAAAATGTGCTGTATCCATTTCATCTTTACTGTTATATCCAGCGATTCACCAGATCGTCAATTCTACACTGACACCTGCATTCGTCAGATCGTCAGATTCTATCTCACCCCCACCCCTCAGATCAGGGTCTTGACCCGTGGGTCTTGGCTGTCTCGCGGCTGTCTTATCTGTCTCAACGTCTCACCATCTCGCCTGGGCTTGTTTTCGCTACAATCGCAGTCATCTCCCCTTACGGCCATCTTGAAAGCTGTCTCACGCGCTAATGTGTGTGTTCAACAGTGAGCAAACAAACACGTGACCCGCCCGACAAGACCGCCAACGGTTTCTCGAATTTCGATTTCTGGAACTATTAAAACAGCTGTTTCTTTTTTAATCCAGTTATTTCAAGAACTATTAAAACAGCTGTTTCCTTTTTTTTTAATTCCTTTATTTGATGAACTATTAAAACAGCTATTTCCTTTTTGATCCCGTTATTTCATGAACTATTAAAACAGCTGTTTCTTTTTTAATCCAGTTATTTCAAGAACTAGTAAAACAGCTGTTTCAATATAAATTACGATATTTCACAAACTATTAAAATTGTGATTTCTTTTCTTTTTTAATTCCTTTATTTCACGAAATATTAAAATAGGCTGTTTCCTTTTTTAATCCAGTTATTTCAAGAACTAATAAAACAGCTGTTTCCTTTTTTTGATCCCGTTATTTCATGAACTACTAAAACAGCTGTTTCAATATAAATTACGATATTTCCCAAACTATTAAAATTGTGATTTCTTTTTTCTTTTCAATTGCTTTATTTCACGAAATATTAAAATAGGCTTTTTTTAAACATCCAGTTATATCAAGAACTAATAAAACAGCTGTTTCTTTTTTTAAAATCCCGTTATTTGATGAACTATTAAAATAGCTGTTTCAATATAAATTATGTTATGTCAAGAACCATTAAAACAACTTTTTATTTTAATTCCCTTATGTCACGACTTCTAATATAGGTTGTTTTCTAATTTTAAAAATTCCGTTATTTAATGAATTATAAAAACAGCTGTTTCTTTTTTTTAAATCCCGTTATTTGATGAACTATTAAAACAGATAAGTCTGACCACACAATCCCCTATATTTGGCAAGGTCATTGAAACAGATGGACCTCATCTGCCGTAGGGGAAAAGATGGAAAAGATACTGTAAGATACTGATTATGAAATTAACGACGAATCGGAACGAGTATTTTTTTTTTTTGCCTCAGACATGTCATTTACAGCGCCAGTTTGCCTTGCATTTTCGCTTTAGTATTACAGTTTTCATCAGATACTGATACAGATTTATAAAAGTAATACTTATTTCTTACGTGTAGCCTACTTTCATTCACTTAAGATGATTTACTTATACCTAGATCTAATACAAAACAGCTAATTACAATTATTTTTTTAAACTTCAAAATGCAAATGTGTAGTTAAATAGTGATTCAAAAGATTTTATTTCAACGGCTTGGTGGGTTGAGGGGGTTCGGGCTTATAAGTAGAGCTGAAATAAATTTGGGATTAAAGAAAAAAATTATTATAAATACTATAAGCCGGAATGTTATGTTGAGTACAATGAAACACATCTAATCAAACATTCTCCCCTTTCAAACATCTATATCTATAGCAGTCCTCCTACCGTTGTTTTTGTTAATTTTATTTTAAAACATTTAAATTAGCAAAAGATCTGGTAATTTATTTTTTAGTTTTAACACAAAAGGAATATTAAATTAGAAACAATGCAGCTGAATTTTCTATTCCAGGGGTCGGCAACCTGCGGCTCGCGAGCCGCATGCGGCTCTTTTGATGTCAAGTTGCGGCTCTTCAGCTCCATGCACACATCTATATATATAATTCTCTTCTGGGAGCCGTTAGAAAACAAGCTGCAAACGCACCTTGCAGTCCCCTCTTTTCCTCTCTATCGCTACCTCCCCCCGACCCCCACCCCCCTCACATGGTCTGGTGAGTTGTGGTTCACGCTGTTTACATTTTACAATCGTAGAGTCGGGTTTGGTGACGGCTATTAGGGGCAGATAATTTAGTTTGAAACGATTTTAAACTTAGAGGAGGTAACTAAGAGGAGGCTGCTTTCACGGGGGGGGAGGAGGGGGTGAAGGGGGGTTTAGTGTTTTAAAGCACATATTTTCAGTGGCAGCATTGGTACTGTCGAATTCACAAATTATGAATTACTGAAAAGTAGAAAATAAAACAACTAAATAACGGCGTATGATACGCCGCGGGTCGGCTCGTATTAATAATTTTTTTTAATTTCCAAAACTCATAAAAATATTAGTCTGCAACACTCTGTAATAAACGACATAACAATAGTTATAAACAATAAACATTCACTATTCTATTAGAATATTTAGTTACTCCCTATCTCAGTGTACTTCCTATTACATTGTCTATTCCGAATTGAAATATTCAACTTCACAAAGAAACTAAACCAACTAAGTGTAAAACTGAAAGGAAAATCTAGCCTATGTCTTGCTTGAAAAGGTGGTTTGTTTAAAAAAAATTGTTGAATACATGATGAGCGGTAAATTACTTAATTACGAAAAATCTCAAAAGAAATATCGTTATGAAACCAATGCTTCTATTCAATCACTTCAGCATTAATATAAACAAAATGAAGGGTGCTTTCACTGAAAGATTTGAGCTATTCAAAACAAATGCAGGTACTCTTACTTACATAGTAGATCCTCTCAACACAAATTCAAATGAGATTAACTCATATGTTCAAAGCTATTTATTTTAAACTTTATATATATATATACCAGGGGTCGGCAACCTTGTGAAGCGGAAGAGTCAAAAGTTACAATTTTCAAAATTTCCCTGGTTTTAAAGAGCCACTAACATTTTTAAATTTCAAATATCTTATATTTTTATTAAGATTATTAGTATTTGTTCACGGAGCTGGAGAGCCGCATCTTGATATCAAAAGAGCCGCATGCGGCTCGCGAGCCGCACGCAGGTTGCCGACCCCTGATATATACTAAACAAATATACTATAGACATAAGAATGTTAATGGCTCTTTCAAAACCGGGTAATGTTGTAAATTGTAACTTTTGGCTCTTTCGTCTCAAAAGGTTGACGACATTTCGTTACAAAATATCCCTTGTCTTTTTTTTTTTTATTTTATTTATTTATTTATTTATTTATTTTTTATTTTAATTTTTTATTTTTTTTTAATTTACAGGGATAAAAAAAGTATACTGCGATTAGGAATGCAAGACCGAGTAATATTAATCTGAGACCATGCAATTTATTTAAAATCCTTCTGAAATTCGGCATAGGTATTTTAGTTTAACTTTATAAAGTTTTTTATTGTTTTTGCCAATCAAATATTAAAATTATAAGAATTTTTAATATATTTTAATTGTATAAGTAATTGAGTGTAATACAACTTTAAAATGTTCTATATTTTGTTGATTAACCTTGTCTTAAATCTCTTTGTTGCACTTATTGACATGAATATAAGTTAATTCCCTTGAATTAATGTTCTTTTGATAATTGTTTTAAAATGGGAGATAATTCATTGCATTTATCTCAAGTGAACCGCAATCTCGTGTACCTACTTACCTTCGATCCACTGCGTGGATCATGCTTGTTTATGTCACACAATAGGGGTGTGTTGTGGCTTATCATTTTGTTATATTATTATGTTAATATGGGTAAAGAAAAAATGAAGGGACGACTCTTTTTTTTAAAATTATTTATTCGTTTTTTTCGGGCCAACATTTACTCTTTTCCTGTTGAATGTTTTTGTAGTTAACTATTTCGTGGTTGGTGGATCTACTACATGTGTGATCGTTCTACAGTCACTAACCCACGATGTTGCTTTAAATTAAAAATATGCCTACACTATATGTGTGAAAGATAGGCAAATGTTCACACTACTAACATGACTTATTGCTCTTCTTTAAATAGTCTAATGGGGGGGGGGGGGTATTATATTCTTGTACTAAACAAATTAAAAACAATTCTTTCTCTTAATTGTTAATTAAATAAGACATACAGAATAATTGCATCTTGGTAAACGGATTTTAATCTTATTAATACAATGAATACAAAAAAGCATAGTGATAAAACGATACGACTGTTTCACTAAATAATAAATTAAAATTGTTTCTTAATTACTTGTTTAACCCAGTAATCTATTCAATTATTATAACCAGTGTAATTTCAACATATTATGTCGATGAAATTTTGTGTTAGTAAGTGTGTTACTTAAATCAATACCTAAAAAATAAAAATAATATTAAAAAAAAAATAATTAAAATCTGGTTGATTATAAGGCCTTTAGTTATTACAACAAATTTAAAATACGAATTGTTTTTTTTTTTTGTTATCATTGTTAAGAATGATTTTCAAAGAGATAAATTTCCTTCATATGTGATTTTATTGCTTTTCTTATTTCCCTTTCTATTGTGTTTCCAGCACGTCTAATATTCAGTGTTTCTTCCAGACTCTTTTCTCCGGGGGTGCACTTGAAATTTTCGGGGGGGGGGGGGCGGAAGGGGGGGGGGCGGACAATGTTTTTCCGGGGGGGGGGGGGGGCGGACACTGTCAAAAGTATATATTTTCTATATAAATTCCATTTCGTTCGGGGGGCGGTAGACCTTCTTCGGGAGGGGGGGGGGGGGGGGGGGGGGGCCGAAGAGATGCGTGGAAGAAACTCTGCTGATATTCTAAAGAACAAGATTTTTTTTCCCCCAATTTTAAGGGGGTAGTGGTGGGTTGGTACTTTTTTCTGGTGGGGGCGGTGTAAAAGAAACTCTCATGTTATGTTTTAAAATCATGTATTTATTAATTTTAAAACCACAATCAATTCATTTTGTCTGCAGTTTTTTTGTAACAGAAATAATGGACACACGTTTTAAAAAAATGGGGGTATTTTAGATATTTCAATTAATAAAAATAATTCTAAACGGCTTTTCAGTTGCTTATATTCAATGCAAAAATATGAAATTTAGTGTAATCAATGGTTCCCAAACAGCTTTAAGATTTAAAAAATGTAACTATAATTGTATGGCTTGCTTTATTTTTAAAAAGATTTTTTTTTAATTTAGTATGATTACATAGACTTTTCAAGAATATTCGTAAAAATGCAAGCAAAAAAATAAGTTTTAATTTTTTAAGATGCACTAAACGTTAAAACAAGCATTTTCTAAAGCTACGAATCAATATATTTATCGGAAAACCCAAGCGCATATGTAATTCTAGTAATGATTAAATTTTTTGGTAGAAGGTGTATGTAGATGTTTATTTTTAACATTTTTAAACAAATATTCCGGGAATATAAATGATAACCCTATCTATTCAGAGAGCGAAGTTACAGAAATAGGTGATCTCTACTTAAACTGTAAATAATGAAAAACAGATCTGCAAGAGTAGCCTATGCTCAACTAAAACATATTTATAGATGACATTCTTTTCATCAAATGATCTCCATAAAACTTCATCTTACATGGAACAAGCAGTGGCGTAGCCAGGAATTGGTCATGGGAGGGGTTCAAATATTTTTCCATATGTATAAAATCATATACTTATATATATATATATATATATATATATATATATATATATATATATATATATATATATATATATATATATATATATATATATATGTATATATATATATATATATATATATATACAGACTTACAAGACGCCCAAATGCTGTAATGGGGGGGCTAACTCATGGTACAAGGGGAAACCACTGCGTCAGTTGTTACCCAAGACTTATCTCAGTATGTCCTGAAATCTCGAGGTTTTACTTCATACAACCTACTTAACTAAACAATTCATCTTCACACCTTTTAAGACGGCTTAAAACCAAGATGTTTACAGACTTTCCACATCTTGCCTCGAATTCTTCTTTGAAACTTATGAATGTTTCTTTGTTAAAAAATTAACTGCAATACGTAAAACTTTATGTACCCATATTCCTTAATTAATTAACCACAATCTAATTTTTACACAATATCACGTGACGCGCAAGATTCTCTGCACCCTTAAGAAAAAAAAACAACCACGTTGCCATGGCTACAAGTAAATCACGTGACTCACCAGGTTCAAAGGGTGGATGAAGCCGGCCGAGTTCAAATCTTCCTCGTGGTCGAGGATCTGCTTGAGGTGGGCGATGTAGCTGGAGGCTAGCCGGAGGGTGTCCAGCTTCGACAGTTTGGTGTCTGGCGGCACCCAGGGGAGGGTCGTCTGGGTCAAAGAGGGGTACACGTGAGCAGGGGGTGGGGGCGGCACCCAGGGGAGGGTCGTCTGGGTCAAAGATGGGTAAATGTGAGCTGGGGGTGGGGGTGGCACACAGGGGGGTGGGGTTTGTCTGGGTCAAAGAGAGGTAAACGTGAGCAGGGGGTGGGGTGGTACCCAGGGGAGGGGGGGGGCGTGGTCTGGTCTAAGATAGGTAAAAATAGGGGGTGGGGGTGGCACACAGGGGAGGGTTGTCTGGGTTAAAGATGGGTAAATGTGAGCTGGGGGTGGGGGTGGCACACAGGGGGGGGGGGCGTCGTCTGGTTAAAGATGGGTAAATGTGAGCAGGGGGTGGGGATGGCACACAGGGGGGGGGGCGGGGCGTCGTTTGGTCAAAGATGGGTAAACGTGAGCAGGGGTTGGGGGTGGCACACAAAGGGGGGGGCGTGGTCTGGTCAAAGATAGGTAAACGTGAGCAGGGGGTGGGGTGGCACACAGGGGGGGGGGGCGTGGTCTTGTCAAAGATAGGTAAATATGAAGGGGTGGGGGTGGCACCCAGGGGAGGGTTGTCTGGTTAAAGAGAGGTAAATGTGAGTTGGGGGATTTAAAGGAGGCCGGCCAATTTACAGGGGTCGGCATATTTACAGATGCCGTTATATTAACAGTAGCAGGAGCCGGGATCTTAGTTTAATATTTTACATTTATAACAATCACTAAAGACACTACACCTTAATTTCAATTATTTTTTTTAACTTGTCTCATTTTAGTTCAATGTTCATGTGATATTTGAAATTCCTTCACTCCATTTACATGTTTTCAAATTTAATTACTTTTTGTTCACCAGTTTTGATATAATTAATCGTTAATAATTTTTTTTATTTGAAAATTTAAAAATGTATTTTTAAAGAAACTTAAAAAAAAATTTAGAAAAAAAAAAGCTTCAAATGAACATGAAAAATTAACTATAAGTCAGCGTAGTCATTGGATTTTTGAAAACTTTTAAAAAAGCTTAGTAAATGTAAAAAAAAAACCTAACTTTTAATTGAAGTAAAATACTAAATTTTTGAATACATAAATAAAAATAATTAATATTTCATGTAAAAAATTTACTTTTTTAAAAAGGATATAAATACTAACTTTTCTTAATCAAGCCTTAGTAAACATAAAAATACACTTTAATTAACTTCATTTACTAGCTCCCATAATAATTAATAATAAATAATTAAATTTTAATTGACTTAATTAGTGGGTAGCCTTAGTACCCATAAAAATATTAGTTAAATTAATTTAGCCTCAGTAAATATAAATAATTAACTGTTAATGGATTGAATTAATGGTGGGTCTTGGTACATATAACTTCAAATAATTGACCCTCAGTAACTATAATTAATTAACTTTTATTGAACTTAATTAATGGGTAGCCTTAGTACATTTAAAAATATAGCTTCAACTAATTTAGCCTCAGTAACTATAATTAATTAACTTTTATTGAACTTAATAAATGGGTAGCCATGGTACATATAAAAATATAACTTTAAATTTAGCCTCAGTAACTATAGTTAATTAACGTATAATGAACTTAATTAATTAACTAGCCTCACCTTTAACCTGGAGAAGGCCTTACTTAACACTCTCATCCGGGACCTTTCACGTGCATTAGCCGCGTTCCTCTGCTGGGGTTTGTGGGTCTTCCCGTCGTTCTCTCGCTCCATCTCCTCTTTTCTCTTACGTGGCATGGTCAGTCGGTGTGGTCAGTCTCTCGTCACACTCTCAGAGTGGTCCGCCTATCATTACACTCTCAGGGTGGTCAGTCTATCATTACACTCTCAGTGCTGTCGCATTACACTCTCAAAGTGGTCAGTCTATCATTAAACTCTCAGGATGGTCAGTCTATCATTAAATTCTCAGGATGGTCAGTCTATCATTACACTCTCAGGGCTGTCTCATTACTCTCCCAGGATGGTCAGTCTATCATTACACTCTCAGAGTGGTCAGTCGATCATTACACTCTCTGGATGGTCAGTCTCTCATTACACTCTCTGGATGGTCAGTCTATCATTACACTCTCTTGATGGTCAGTCTCTCATTACACTCTCAGGGTGGTCAGTCTCTCATTACACTCTCAGAGTGGTCAGTCTATCATTACACTCTCTGGATGGTCAGTCTCTCATTACACTCTCAGGGTGGTCAGTCTCTCATTACACTCTCTGGATGGTCAGTCTCTCATTACACTCTCAGGGTGGTCAGTCTCTCATTACACTCTAAGTGCTGTCTCATTACACTCTCAGGATGGTCAGTATATTGCAGGCAGCCTTTACTATATACATCTTCTCGTAGCACTTAATTCTTCTTTCCCCTCAACTGATTGCCTGCCTTCTTTAGTCAGGTCACATTAAATACTTCATTAATTGCTTGATCACAACAACAAAAAATCCACTTTAAAAACGGTGAAAAATGTTTCAAGAATTCCGTCTAAATGATGTAGAAATTATCCAAACAATATAAGGCAGTCTTTCTCTATTAGCCGACTGGAATCACAAATGTCTGAGAAAATCTGTCGATAGAGGATGTTCATATACAAATTGTGTTTTTTTTAAAATTAGAACTAGCTGTAAATAAATGGTCATGTTTATTGTAAATCATTACTATTATCTGGCAGGCCTACTGATATAAACTTCAACACGCAATGTCAATATAAATTGATGTCCGATGAAGATGTTTTTTTTTATAATTAATTTGTTTTTTCAATTGTAAAAAATAAATAAAGATAAACCAATAAATATTATATTAATAGCGATGGAAAACACTATGCGTTAGCTGGTAAAAAAAACAATGTATTATTTTTCATTATTCTACGGCCTTAAATAACAATTTATTATTTTTAAAATTTTCGATCCATATAGAAAAGTAAATAAAATTAACGCCTCGTATATAGATAAAGAACCAGTTTTAAACATAGCACAATAGCTAAAAATATTGAGGTTACAATATGTTATGTCTACGGTCGCCGTATGAGATTTTTTTTTTACTTGAATGGACCCGTATGGGCACAGATTGACACGTAACATATACACCAGTACATAACTGTATTCATCCTTCGGTAACTAAAGCTCGGCATGGTGATTTCGATTAGTGTTGTCAAGAGTTATATATTTTTTTCTACGCCGTTCTTCATACTATGAGGGGTAATTTAAAAAAAAAAACAACTTGAATTAGCCCATTGATGGCAAAACAAGGTAAATTAAATAGTGGAATATAAGTCCATTAAAACGACAAAATTATAATGGTAAATTAATTACTGTAATTAGCCCATCATCAATCACTAAACCAGAAAGGTAAATCAAATAGTGAAACTAGCCAAATAACGTCAAAAGCAGAAAGGCAAATTAAATAGTAAAATTATCCGTCATAATAAGAACATTATAGAAATTATATGACACAACTTACCTTTGATGCTAGCTGATGTTACCTCCGATGTTACCTCTGATGTTACCTCTGATGTTACCTCCGATGTTACCTCTGACGTTACACCAGCACAGCGGGCGCCACCTCACCCTCTCAACATCAACTTGTAAAGTAACCAGCCTCACAGCAGGGGAAGACGACTGCGATATACTCCAACAAGGGAGACGACTGCGAGATACACCAACAAGGGAGACGACTGCGAGATACACCAACAAAATGAACCGGATCAGCTGGGCCACCCTGGGAAGAGATGGCACCGTTATCTCTCTCGTGTTCCGTTATCTGGAACCGCCGTCCGGCGAGCTGAGGTAATTTGTCTCCCCCCTCCCCCCAACCTGATTTCACATCCCCCCTTTCCCTTTTTTTAAAAAAATCTCTAATCTAACCGATAGACAAATTTTTACCGACACCTCGCCCCGCCCACGGCCGCCTAAACAATTCCCTGACAAACTTGGCTAGGCTCCACCCACGCATGTGGTGGTGCCCTTTGCCAGGGCTCCGGCCAATCTGTATCATTATCGCCTTATCGTTTTCATATTTTGACATTTGAGTCCCCTCCCTTCTGAGCGGGCAGAGACCCACATATTTTAATCGCGACCAATATCTGCGCCGTGAGCATGCGCGTGGCTTGCGGACTACATTAACAAGCGAGAACTTCAAACTGGGGAATCGGAAATGTAGAAATCTGACTGTTAAACTTACAGAATTAAAAAAAAATACACTACATTTTATAACTCAAGTAACGAACTTCAAGGAAATAAATTTTTTATACTAGTAATGGGTTTATTGTTTCTTTCAGACATATTTCTCGGAAGGGGGGGGGGGGGGGAGTCGGTAAACTTGCTCCGGGAAGCGCATCCCCAAAACCACCCGAAGAAATGCCTGAAAGAAACTCTGAATTTATTGGGCATGGGAGTTCAATGTTATAGTATTAGCGCCAAATCTTATATGTGATTTAAGGTCGTGTAGGAGTATTCTAAGTGAGACCAGAGTTTCTTCCAGGCATCTCTTCGCGAAGAAAGTCTACCAGCCCCCCCCCCCCCCCCAGAACGAAACCGAATTTGTATAGGTAATATATATTTATACCAGTGTTCGCCCCCCCTCCCCTCGGAAAAAAGTGAAAGAAACACTGAGCGAGAACGAGGGGTGGGGGAGAGGGCTGGGTTAGTTTAATTAAACCATTTCAGTTATTATTACTCAACATGCTGACATCATACTAATAACGGTATTTATACAGGGCCTAATAATTTATTAGCATAACTTAAACTGACAATATACTTGTTAATTTAATTACATGAGTAAAACTATACAAATAGTTTCTGTATTTAGTCTTGTATTATGACAAGGTTGTTGCCTACTATTACGTCTGTTATTTTAACAAAATTCTTGCCTACATTTACATTTGTAATTTTGAACAAGTTTGTACCTACTAAATTTCTACTAAATCTGAGATTATAACCAAGTTTTTGCCAACAATGAAGTCTGAGTTTATGACCATGTTTTTGCCAACAATTAAGTCTGAGATTATGTTTTTGCCAACAATAAAGTCTGAGATTATGACCAAGTTTTTGCCAACAATTAAGTCTGAGATTATGTTTTTGCCAACAATTAAGTCTGAGATTAATGACCAAGTTTTTGCCAACAATTAAGTCTGAGATTATGACCAAGTTTTTGCCAACAATTAAGTCTGAGATTATGACCAAGTTTTTGCCAACAATTAAGTCTGAGATTATGACCAAGTTTTTGCCAACAATTAAGTCTGAGATTATGACCAAGTTTTTGCCAACAATTAAGTCTGAGATTATGTTTTTGCTAACAATTAAGTCTGAGTTTAATGACTAAGTTTTTGCCAACAATTAAGTCTGAGATTAATGACCAAGTTTTTGCCAACAATTAAGTCTGAGATAATGACCAAGTTTTTGCCAACAATTAAGTCTGAGATAATGACCAAGTTTTTGCCAACAATTAAGTCTCAGATAATGACCAAGTTTTTGCCAACAATTAAGTCTGAGATAATGACCAAGTTTTTGCCAACAATTGAGTCTGAGATTATGTTTTTGCCAACAATTAAGTCTGAGATTATGTTTTTGCCAACAATTAAGTCTGAGATTATGTTTTTGCCAACAATTAAGTCTGAGATTATGACCAAGTTTTTGCCAACAATTAAGTCTGAGATTATGACCAAGTTTTTGTACAAGATGACCTGTTGACGGACGGGATATCCCAGCATGCCAAGCTTGATGCCGTGTTTATATTATGCTGGGTGTGTTTATCGGCTCGTTTTACGCTGGTTTTCGTCTCATTAGAGATGTGTTAGCTTAGTCTTAGTTAAGGTTTGACCTTGTGTGTTAGCTTAGTCTTAGTTAAGGTCTGACCTCATGTGTTAGCCTAGTCTTAGTTAAGGTCTGACCTCATGTGTTAGCTTAGTCTTAGTTAAGGTCTAACCGCATGTGATAGCTTAGTCTTAGTTAAGGTTTGACCTTGTGTGTTAGTTAAGGTCTGACCTCATGTGTTAGCTTAGTCTTAGTTAAGGTCTGACCCAGGGGCGTAGCGAGGGGGGGGGGGGGCGGGGGGTGCGGACCGCACCGGGTGACACCATTTAGGGGGGTGACACCAAGGCAAAAAATAGCAAAATATATAGAGAAAAACTCGAGGGGGGGTGCAAATCGAAAGTTTGAGGGGGGGGGGGGGGTGCAAATCGAAAATTTGAAAGTTTGTCCCTGGGAAGGGTCTCTATGCCTCTGGGGGGGGGGGGGGGTGCGACACCATTAAGTGCCGCACCGGGTGACACCCGACCTCGCTACGCCACTGGTCTGACCTCATGTGTTAGCTTAGTCTTAGTTAAGGTCTGACCTCATGTGTTAGCTTAGTCTTAGTTAAGCGCTGACCTCATGTGTTAGTGAAGGTCTAAAACTCATGGGTTAGTAAAGGTCAGACCTCATTTGTTAGTGAGGTCTGACCTTATGTGTTAGTGAAGGTCTTACCGCATGTGTTAGCTTAGTCTCAGTTAAGCTCTGAACTCATGTGTTAGTAAAGGTCTGACCTTATGTGATAGTTAAAGTCTGACCTCATGTGTTAGCTTTGTAAATGTCTTAGTTTAGGACTCACCAAATATGTAGCCTAAAATCAACCAGAAAGTCAAAAATTATCATAAAATTTGCAGCACGCTTTATCCATTATTAATTTAGCCTACATTGTACCATCGTACGTATTTTTAAAACAAAAACTAAACTCGTCCACGCTTTTCTGACCATATTCTGACCATATTCCCCACCACCCTCCCCGACCCCCCTTTTCTATAAAAGTCTGACTATCTCTTTGAAAGGACGTCACTTTAACCAGAGGCGTAGCGAGGGGTGTGGGGGGGGGGGGATAGGGTGGGGCGGGGGTGCGGACCGCACCGGGTAACACCATTTAGGGGGGTGATAACAAGGCAAAAAATAGCAAAATATATACAGTAAAATGATAATTCCACGTAATTAAGTGATTAATTAGAGTGTTAAATAGTCTTTTAAGAGCCACTAGGGTCGTTAGATTTGTCCAGATGCCGTATTTTCTTATATAAACTATTGTTTGTAAAAAAAAAAAAAAGACTACGTAATTTACTCTTTCTACAGGGGAGGTAACTTTTTAAAGTAATAATTTTTAAATTGCAAAAGTTAATTTAATATAATATCTGATTTATACTTTTAAGGAAGCCTTTAATAACCTTGCGAGTAATAAGTACCGAATAGGCCTACTCCACCAAATCTTGCATGACTTAAAAGTACTCAAACTGTTTAAGCTTAGGCCCTAAGCACTCCACATAACAGCCAATCACCAATTAATTAATCATTCAAATTCTCAAAAGCATTTTGAAAACTTAAGCGAAGCTAGGCAGTATGCCTAGTTTATATATATATATATATATATATATATATATATATATATATATATATATATATATATATATGGGGGGGGGTGACACCATTAAGTGCCGCAACGGGTGACACCCGACCTCGCTACTCCACTGACTTAAACCTATTTCTAAACAGTTAAATGTTAAAACGTAAAAGGAACGAAATTCTCGCAATCAGTTACATTTAGATAAAAAAATAATCTTAGAGTTATTTCTTTAAACTACTTAAGTCCATATAGAATTCTGACATTACAGTATAAGAAATATTTTAAACATAAAGTTATGTGTGTACTATTTGATGAATGTAATACCAGTGTGGACAAATACAGCATTGGAGTCCATCGATTGTCTCCCATCTCATCATCAGATAGGGAAGTATCCCTTTATGAATTTACGTTTACCTTTAGCAAGCGCTATTTCACCATGGCGGATGTCTTGTATAAAAGAAACACATCACTTTGATGTTGCTGTTGTTGTTATTGTTGTTTTATTTCCCCCTGTGTTGCCGTTGATGTCAGAGATTGAGAAAGAACTAAGGGTTTGATTTTTTTTTTTTTTATAAAGAGATGCATCTACATGAACATTTGAAACGATCTTATCGTTTGAACAGAGAAAAAAAAATGCATTTGTCGTGTATCGGAGTGCGTCAAGAAACTTCAGGGATTTGGGTTGATTCACGGGTTGTAGTCCAGTTGTAGACATGTCCAGTGGCAGTAATGTTAAATTTAGTATATGTGTCAACTGGTTATGCGCCATTGAGGCCATTCGACTCCGATTTCAACCTGCTTTTCTTTATGGATTTGCTTCCATAGCTTTTATCCAACCAAGAACAAACTACAAGGCAGCAGTTGTTTGATTTTGGTGTTGTCTCTCCTAGAAGAGTGGCTGTCCCCCAGCTAACGAGCCTCATCTGCCCGAGCTTTACCAACTTGACCACGCCGACCCCAGCGTAATATCAAAATCCCACTCTTTATAATTCACTGACTGTAATGTCGAATTCCACTCTGTATGATTCGGTAATCGTAATTTGTTAATGTCCACGTTTTGTGATTGAGTAACCATAAAAACTAACGTCCACTCTCTATGATCCAATGGCAACAGTCCACTGTCTATAATTCATTGGCCGTAATGTCAAATGTCCACTGTGGAAAAAATATCTTTGATGAATTAGACTGTGTTAATTGTCAGAGCAGCCAATCATCTCTGTCCTGACCACCAATAAACCAGAGCTTTAATTGGCTTCAAATCGCGACACAATCTGGCCAACACGTGGGTGGCGAACCAGAGTAAACAGGGGGGTGTTGTGCTCTACGTCACCACAATGTGGTCCACGTCACCACTTGATACAGTC